GAACGTGGCCGACAGCTGCGGAGAGGCGCAGCGGGTCGGGGAGGAGGCGGGAACGGGCCACTCCGGGCCTGGGCTCGGGCAGATTCCTGAACCGCTTCCAGAAGGGTCAGGCGCGGGACTGACCCCAGGCACCCGGCTCCAGCCGACCCGGGGCCGGCAGCGCCGCCTCGGACCCAGGAGGCCCCCGGTCCCTCATCTCGCCGCCCGTGTGCTCCACGAGCATGACTTCGGGCGTGTGCACTTTCGCTACCGGGACGTGGGCTCTCTGCTTCGGTCCCCACACCCAGCTGTAAATACCTGGGTCAGCGTGTCCTGGGGTTGGAGAGGAGCCTCCTTGTCCAGTGCCAGGTTAGGGGTGGTTAATGGTGCGCGCAGGGACCGCCGCCCTCCTTGCACTCTCCCCAGGAGCCCCCCAGGCCCGAGCAGGGGAGAGGGCCCGATGACGTCATGGAACTGTTGGAGATTTAGCTCAGGAACCGCCGGAGAGGCCCTGGGACGCGTGTTCCATTTAAACCGACGGTGTACTATTCTCGGCTCCATTTTCCCAAATCCCGCATGGCAGATTTCCAGCTTACCCGAGACCTAAGCGGCCCTGGGGTTCTGAAGGAAATCAATACGTGCCGTCTAGGCCAAGATCCCCGGAGAATGGGCTTGCAAGTATGGGCTGGCAAGGCTCACTAGCATGGGTTGGGCCAAGAGGGCATGAAATCTCAGGTAGTGGAACAATCATTTCAGGCCGAAATATGCCTCATAGCACAGGTAATGTTATCATTAACTGTAATAACAACGCAGACAGCTAAGGAATGCTACCGTCTTCCAGAGATCAAACCCTGAAGTAGATGCTACCACCCCTCCCCTACCCCATTTTAGAGATGACAAATTGAAGCTCCAAAAGGTTAGGGAACTAAAGCAGGATCACGCAGCCAGAAAATGACAGAATCGAGATTCAAGCCCCATGTCTTTGTCTCCAAGCCCGGGCATGCTCTTTCTCAGACACCACGGTTGCCTCTCAGTTCAAATAGGTGCATTCCAGAGGCGGGGGCATCTTTCTCCCAGTCTCCAGGCTCCTCCCACCTCTTCTAGTCTATTTGACCCAGTCTGTCTATAACCCAGCGAGATAATGGGGTAAGGGGACAATGCGCCAGACAGCAGTGAGGCCTCTTTGCTCTTACAGAACCAGGTCGACGGTTTACAAGTTAATAACTAACACTCCTAGCTGGTTATGACTGGAGATGGAGGGGACAACCTACTCTGAAAATTGCAGTCGTTTTTTTTTTTTAAAGTTACTTTGTAGAATACTGTGTGCCAAAGACTGCTGTGCTAGTCCTATGTCTTTTTTTTTTTTTTTTTTTTTTTTACAGAGCTGGCACAGAGGCAATATGTAGTAATACTGATATCCAACACTGATGTGCCAGGCACTACTCTTAAGTACCCTACAAGACAGAGTGGTGGTGGGAAGATTTCAATTATTCAAAGAACAGCTGGAAGTTTAATTTTACTATAAGTCTAGCATCAGCAAAAGCTCCAATTTGCCTCACTGACTCTTTCATCTCCAGAGTGGGATGTAGCATTTGACTGCCTGGGTTTGCATCCTAGCTCTGCCAGCTTGTAGAGTGACAAGTTGTGTAGCCTTGAGAAGACACCATAACCCCTGTGCGACCCTCTCACTCGGGGGTAGCAATGGTGTCTCCATCCTCATGTTCACATAAGAATCCCAGGACCAACACAGTGTCCAAGGAAGCTCTTGCCAAACATGAGCTGCTAATATTATTATCATTACCGCTAGAAGAGAAGGAGCATTGTGACCAACAATGAATAAATTGAGGGGATGTCGAAGTAACTACAACGAAGAAGGAAAGTGGCTGTGTTGTCTAGGAGGTGATAAAGATGAGGGTATATGTGTACAAAGGATGGAAGACACTCCAAAATAAATTTTTAATAATTCACTAATTCTTTCTAGAAGAAAAAGAAGAATTTTTTTCTTAAACCCCCATGACAACAGCAGGGCGCTGTGGGTTGAGCCCATACTTTCAGGAGACTGCACACACACATCACATGTGCAAAGACAGAGTAGGGGCATGCAGTCAGATGGGAAAGCACAAAAGCAACTCAGCCTTGAAGCCTGGTTCAGGCAAGCTGAAGGCTACACAGAATGTCAGACAATGTCTGAAGCAAAAAAGAACAGGGAAACATAGCTCATTAGGACTTAGCCATTCCAAAAGAGTTTTTACCTTCTCCAGAGAGTAGCCCTAATGAAAAATCAAAGAACAAATGCTCAAGGTGGGTACCAGAGCCCAAAGTACATCAACAGAGAACTGACAGGCCTTGGAAAACACACACACATATGAATGTGTGGAAAATACACATATTTGAATAACTTGCTGGAAAAACCTAAATATGTCATCCAGGGACCACTTTAACAAACCTAGAAAACAGAGCGGGTTCCATCCAATGAGAAGCAAATAGACAAAGGTTCCAAGATTCTGGAATAAATTATGAACCAAACACACAGACATTCATGATTTAAAAGAGATCTCTTATTCCTTTACTAGTAGAGGTTATAGGGTGGTCATTTAGGAAATGCTGTTTGATCTCAGAGCAATGTCTTCTGTTTTAGTGGAAAGAACATGGGATTGAGGTCCAGAGACCTGGATACTAACCCCGCTCCATCTTTCATAAATTGGGTGACCACAGGCAAGTCCCTTAACCTTGCTGTGCCTCATTTGTGAAAGATAGGGCATTTTTCCTTGGTCCTTCTCCTCTCTAAGTTCCATGACTCCACAACATGATGAAAAGTGAGGTGAGTCAAAGTCCAGACGAGAGAATGCAGTGCCAAGAAAGCAGCCACACCTGAAAGCTGTCTAATGTGTGATGTCAAATGTGTTAAACTGACCAAGGGGGCAGCTTAAGAAGTTTGGTCCCTGTTTTGGCCCTTCATACACACGTATTAATGACTGGAGTGCTATGGCAAGGGTCATAGAATACAGATTTAAAATAAACTAGATGGACTGGAGAAGGCTTAGGCTGAATGTCAGATGAAATTAACAGACATAAATTTAAAGCCCTATGTGTAACTTATAAAGCAAAAATACCTACATGAGTTCAGGATAGAGAAGAGCAGCTGAGAAGTAGATGATGGGATGAGGTCTGGGTGTCTGAAATGCCCACCCATTCAAGCCATCATCCAGTGGCTAAAAAAAGAGCTATTGCAACCATGATCACACCTACCAGTAAGGATAATGACAATGGGGGACACGTGTTGAGCATTTACACGGGCTCCCCATGCTACCTCATTTCTGGGATGTGATCGTGTGATAGGCTCCCATCCTGGGGCAGTGCTGGTGCCATGGCAGCCTATGCCATCTGATTGTGTCAGGGTGTTGTTTTCAATGCTGAGGCTCTGTGGCATAGGAGAGTAACAAACTGTAGTGCGTCCAGAACAGGACAACTGAGATGGGGAAAGTCTGAAAACCAGACTCCTCAGGAGAGGCGGAGAGAGCTGATAGTGCTTGGCTCAGAGGAGGCACAACCAAATGGTAGTGAGCGAAGGAGGAGAACTGAATGAGTGGCTAAGACTTCTGCTCTGACTGCCCGCCCTCAAACCTGTGCGCTGCCACTTATAAGTTGTGTGACTTTGGGCAAGTTATGTAACCACCTCTGTGCCTCAGTTTCCTCAAATGTAAATGGGAGTAGTCATAGTAAGGAATTTGTAAGATGATTATGAAGGTAATGAGTGTGTGTAAATGCTTACCTGGCAGACAGCTGTGCTTAATACATATGCTGCTGTGATTGTCATCTTGTGTCTGGTAAGCTGTCCCCACAGAGGAAGGGAAAGCCATTCTGTCTGGCTTCAGAAGGAAGAATAGGACCCATAAGGATAGCAGGAAGAGAATCTGGTTTAACATGAAGACGTTTTTCAAATGATGAGAACTTCCCAATGAAGAAATGAGTTCCCAGTTCCCAGATAAGCTCATTCTATTCCATTTTGTAGTTAGTGAAAAGAGTCATAGGGATGATAAGATACCATAAATAAAGTACTTCAAAGAAATCAAGGAATAAGCCAATATGAATGGCAGTAAGTCCTGCCTTTCTATTCCTTCTCTGCTGATTTCTCAAAGACAGTGAATTTTTGTTGCATGCAGGATAAAGAGCTTGGGCTTTGCAGTCAAATTCCCTAATTTTGAATCCCTACTCTGTTATTTAGCAGCTGTGCAACCTTGGATAACTTAGGTCACCTCTGGTCAAGGATTTTCCTTCTGTAAATGAAGTAAACTACCTACAATCCTGAGGAACAAGGATCAGAGCTAATACAGTTTTTGCTGCATTAGTAAACATTATGCCAAACTGGGCTGAGCTTATAGCTATTTGAGACAGGCAAATTCAAGCCTTCTGGCCTTTTGTACCTGGCAGGGCATGCGGGTGGTGGAGGTTGGACAAAGAAACTCTGCTACATCAGCAAGCACATAAGCCAAAATTGTACTTACGATACAAACACTGGAGACAGGCAATTTCTGAAAGCCTTCCAAATCTTAAAGTCTTGTACTTACCACAGGAGTATAAAATCTAAGGGAGTAAAATAAAATTTTTCTGTCATTTGTTGAGAATCTACTATGTGTTAAGTTCTGGACTCAGTGTCCCACCAAATCTTTGCAATGGTTAAGAAGGGGCAGAATTGATGATAGTGAAGTTAGACTAGAAAACAGGTTTGTAATTGTCTTGTGAACCATCCCTAAAGGCCCTTTAGATTTACACAGGATCCCTGGAGCCTCTATCTTCCCGAGAGCTGATCAGGACTGCATCTTGCATCTCACTACAGTGGCCGAAGCATTGAACTAGAGCTACTTTACTCAAGATTCAGTTTCTAACAGGGGCAGGCTGGTGGCTGAGGGCCTGTCACATCCTTCATGAGAACCCCCCCCCACACACACACATACACACAGCCCCTTGGGGTCAGATATGCTGAGGACACTAATGGATGACCTTTTCTCTCTGCCCCTCAGTGTGACGGGGTTGGGGTGGACCTGAGCAACATCTTCCTTGAAGGCATTGCCATTCTCAACATTCCCAGCATGTACGGTGGCACCAATCTCTGGGGAGAAACCAAGAAGAACCGGGCTGTGATCCGGGAAAGCAGGAAGGTCGTCATTGACCCCAAGGAACTGAAATTCTGTGTCCAAGGTAAGCCAGGCATGAGGAAAGTCACTGTAAGTCAGCGCCCTGGTGGGAGGAGCATTCAGATGGGTGTGTTAGCAAACTGCATCAGATTCTACAGCCTGACAAGGACCCATTGTTCTGGGGGTACACTGACAAATTGTCCCTGATGTTGCAAAGCTTACAACCTAATTGAGAAAAGAAAATTAACAATAAGGGAGCCCTAAATGACAGTAGTCAAACTGTGGGATTCCATGAGGTCAGGAGTCAAATGCTGCTCCTGTTAAGGTTCCCGGTGTCCTCCAATAAAGCCAACAGACAGTTCTCAACCTTGATCTCACTTCACCTGTCAGCAGCATTTGGCCCAACTGGTCACTCCCTCTTCCTGGAAATACTGTTCACTTGGCTCTAGGACTCCACAAGTTCCTGGTCTTCCTCCTACTCCCTGGTGCATCTTCTCACTCTCTTTCGTTGATTCTTCATCTTCTCTCTAAACTTCTTGCTGGTGGGTCCCTAGGCAAGGATCTGGACCCTCTTTTCTGTCTACTGACTTTCCTGATGACCTCATCCAGTCATGAGACTTTATTTAAATACTGAGTATTGATGACTCAGCATGTCCAAGACTGAACTCCCGCCGTCCTTCCGCAAACCTCTCCACCCATAGCCTTCTTCATCTCAGTTGATGATTCCAACCTTCTCCTGCTTGAGCCAAAACACTTGTCATGATCCTTGGCTCCTCCTTTGTCTCACATCTCATATCTAATCCATCATAAAATCTGGTAACTCTACTTTTAAAAAACACCCAGGATCCAATCACTTCCTACCACTGCATTCCTAACCCCTTCATCTGAGCCACTGTCCTCTGTTCCCTGGATTCCTACAGATCCTCCTAACTGGAGTCCCTGCTTCTACTTCTGCCCTGTACAGTCTGTGCTCACCCCTGCATCAGCGTACCCCTGGGAAAATGTCAGACTAGGCAGGCCACTGTCCTGATCAAAATCCTTCTGTGGCTCAGAGTAAAAGATCTTCACGTGGCCTTAGAGGGCCATAGAAAGTCTGGCCTCCTGTTAACTCTGAGACTTCATCTTCTCCTCCCCGCTGACCCCCTCTCCTCTGCCACCCTGCTCCTCTAATACAGAAAGCTGTTTCCATAGACCAACTCTCCTTTCTGCCTAGAACAACTGGGTAGGGTGCCTTAGAGGACATCAGGGTCTCTTTTAACCCCCTTTTAACCCCCCAGGGCATATTCTGAGAGTACCCTTAAAACCACCTCCAGTCCTACATGTTCCCAGCCATTTCCACCAATGAACCAAGTGGGGACTCAGTCAGAGTTCCTGGCAGCTCCGATTCCTCTTCGAGTGGATGAATGGCCCCCGCTGACCCTCAGGGGCTCCCAGACTGGTCAGCTGGCCCAGAGAAACCAGGTCTGGGGCACTGGCAAAGACACCATACTAAGAGGCAGGAGACAGGGTTGGAGTCCAAGTGCTGGCACTGACCTATTTTTGGCATCTCAGTTTATTTTTGCCATAAAACCAGCATCCCATGTAAAATTTTGATAGCTGAATGGATGGGATTGAATGGCATCATCGGTTCTTAAACCAGGCCTCAAACTTTCATTTGTTGAAGATGAAGGTTCCTGGGCCCTCACCCAGATCTACCTAATCCATCTCTGGGTTGGTTCCTGGGACTCTAAATTGGTAATGAGCTCCCCAGACAACTCTGATGGACTGCCAGGTTTAAGAAGCACTGACAGACAAGTGTCTGTGAATCTGGGTCTGTGTTCTTTGATGTCCCAGACTGTTCGTGCTAAGATTGGATATGATCCCACAGTTGAAGGAGACAAACTTGGCTGACTTTCAAAGAGAGGGGTTACTTGCTTATTTCAGACCCATCTGTTAGATTGTTATATTCCAAGGTGAGGTCATCAAGAGGGTTTGTCTCCACATCTCTGTCCTTTAAGACAGGACTTGGGAATTTTTATTTCTCTGTTGCCCTCTTAAATCCCCTTTATTTCACACAATAAACTTTCCAATTTGTATAAATTATTAAACGGAATAATGGGTTCCTCCTTCCTCCCTTGGCAGGGGAAGCAGAGGGTGGGGAAGCACTGGAGGTCATAGAAAGGTTGTGCAGATTTTCTCACCCTGGTGCCCCGACCACAACCCCCACTCTGGCACCCAGCCCCATCCGAACAGAAGCAGGGTAGGCTCCTCCCCCACCCTCCACCCAGGGGCTTGTGGAAGCTCTAGCTGAAGACATGTTCTAGTTTGGACTCAAGGGCAATCTTTGTCTTCCCCTTACATATCTGATCATGTATCTTCCCCTTCAAGCAAGGATGATGTGTCTGCTGATCGCCCTTGACCATCATGTACAGGAACTCTCTCCCCCAAATCCCCCTTTCCCACCCCAAGAATGTGCTTTCAGAGCTAAAAATGAAGCTACTTCCTGTTCTTTAGATGAGGACATGAGCTGATCAGAGCAGAGGCCAAGGAGGGGGCCTGGCTTCTGGGCTTTACAGAGACACCAACACTGAGCTTTTTTTTTGAAAGGGCCATGATCTCATATAAGTTGAAATGTTAATGGGGAAAAGCTAGAGACAACCTATTTTAGCAAAAGCATTGGCCTAGGTGCCAAGAGTCCTGGGTTCCAGTCCAGATGCTGCTTCCCACTAGCAACACTGGGCAAGTCCTTTCAGTTGGGGTTTCAGTTTTCCTTATCTGTAAAACAGGCAAATCATAGAGGTTCCCATAAATCACAGGTTCCTCCTGGCTCCACAAAATCAAGGCATGGCCAGGTTTTGGTCTAGGTGAACTCCTTGAACAGAATTATACGACAGGTTTCTTTGTTCTTTCAGTGTTTTTTGTCCCACAATTTATATGCCAGCAGCTAAGAAGTCAGGGATCCCTGTCTGCAGGGCCTTTGTTTGTTGGGATTCTTTATTCTGACAATTTCAGTGGTATTGGAAGTGAGGGAGAAGTCAGGAGAGAGTAGTGGGAAGGAAGTGATTTATCATAAAAAGTATAAGAAGAAATGACAATAGAAGGGGTTACTTTCAAATCTCTCTCATCACAGATCAGTCTTCTTGCAGAAGCAATCTAAGAAAGGTTGTTCAAGATTATCATAGAATGAGTTCTATAAAAACACTGGCTGATTAGAAAACAATAAGGGATACTGGGTAAAGCACCAAGTTTGCAGTTGAATGACATGGCTTTAAATTTAGGCTTTACACTTCCTAGTTTTGCAAACTTTGGGAAATTACACAAACTCCCTAAGTCCCAGCTTCCTCATCTGTAAAATGGGCATAATAATACCTAGCTTGTTACAAAGGTGATCCATTTATAGCATAAACTCAAACTTTTTAAATATTTAGACTTACACCATCAATTGTACCTACTCTGTCCCTTCTTGATCTTTCAGATTCCAGGGATGGAGTCTGGGTGTTATTCATCTTTGAATTCCCTAGTCCAGTGTAGTTAGTCAAACAAAGGTTGTTGGATCAAAGAGAAGTACATGGGCATTGATTCTTTTTAGCTTTTACAACACCAATGAGAATAGTGACAGACTGTCTCTTGTATTTATATTCCATTGTGGCTTGCAACAGTTTTACATTTATTAACTTAATGTGATCCTAACCAAAAACCCATGAGCAAAGTTGTATCTCCTCCCCTCCATATCACTGTTGTGTAGTTGGGGAAAACAGAGCTCCAGGTGGGTAGGACTTAAAGAATTTATGTCCAGTGGTGGCCTCAGACCAGGTCCATGATTCCTAACCTAGCCCCAAGAGGCTAGGGTCCAATTAGAAAATTTATCTAAGGTCCTACTGTGTGTATTGCACAAGTCAGGCACTCAGGAAACAGGAAACATCTATGACCCAGTCCAAGGAAAGGCTCCAGATATACTTGTGGAAATTCTGCTTCCCCTGCAGGGCCTACCCCAAGGTTCATCTCCTTCCTGGAGCCTATTGTGGTACCTCTAGAAATGAGTCCAACTCCTGAATTCCTAGAGCACTTAATTTTGCCCTCGGTCTTGCAGTACAGTGATTATAGAAAGCCTTGCTGCATAGGCATGTACATCCACATCATCTTTCTCCTGCCAGTATTTGGAAAATGGGGAGCACGTGTTCTTTGTCTTGGTGTCCTTTCCAAGCCTAACATCCTACCTGGCTCACATTGTTCTGTGGAAATGTTTGCTGGAGGGAGGGACAGAGGGGGAAGGACTCTTGCCTTTGGTCTGCCAGCATAGTGGACAGTAGATTCTGGAGCTGGATAGAAACAGGCATTTAGTGAAAAATCTTGGGGGGGAAAAAGGGGTTCTGAAGAGTTACATGTACTGTGAAACAAAGAATTCGGTTTCATTAAACCATTAGAAACTTTTTGATAAGTAAGATATGCCCACTATCTTCAAATAAGTAATTGAAATATAGCTTAGAGGACTTTTAATTTAGAGTCAGTGTGGAGTAAGGAACTAGACATTGGACTATAAGTTAGAAGAGTCAGGTATTCCCCTCACCAGCCAGGTGACATTGGTTGGGTCACTGAACCTCTCCAAGGCTCCATTTCAACCCTTACAAAATGGAAACAATTACAGTCTCTCCCTCAGCATTGTTTTGAGGGTTAAAGGAGATCATCCACGTAGAATTTAGCAGAGTGCCTGGTCTGAGCAGAGAACATGCGGAGCACTTGATCAATAGTAATCAGAATTACTGTTAAGCGGTAATTGGAAGGTGGTATTTAGTATATGATAAGAAAGGGGCCAAATTTAGAATTTCACTCTCTTGACCTCTGCTTCAGGAATTTGGTTTAGATTATCTTTAAATCACCTGTAGCTCTAACACCGTATAACTCTATGGTTCTTTGTTGGCACTGTGCTTAAATGTGTTTGGCTGTTGCTGCCAGTGTGGGCTTATACCCGAGTTGCCTGTCCAGTGAACTAAGGGGAGGGTAAACAATGCCCAGTCTTGCCAGGAAACCAGGTGAAGTACCCAGGGCAGGGCACAAAGCTGGATCTGTCCCCACGGGACTGGTGAG